ATCCATCCATCCATCCATCCATCCATCCATCCATCCATCCATCCATCAGTATATTAAGAGTGGGCCAGTAAAGCACAACTCTCCAACCTTATTTTTCACTACAGGCTTTGTCTTGTGGGTGCTATAGGGGCTAGTCTTGCAGGGTCACCAGCAACTCTTATTGTGCCCTCCCACCGTAGGCAGTAAGAACAACAACAACTCTTAAAGTTAATCCTCCATGGGCTGGATGTAAAGCATGGAACAATGAGTACATATAATCAGGGAAAGTATGCATTTATTTACGGTGTAAAGACAGGTGTTGAATGGAACTGACAGAAGTTGATTACGGTACATGTCCAGGTACAGGAGCAATTAGGATGAACACATCACCCAGCTCACCCACCCATGTATCCATTTCTTGTTCATTCTTGCTCATTCTGCAGCCAACCCACCTGCTCCAGTCATAACTACTAGGTCTCTCTTCAAGCCAGAAGTGGGGTGGTGCATAGGGTTTGCAGTTCCATCACAACATGGAGGTGTGGGGAAAGACAGAAAAAACACATGGAGGACAGGCATGACATGGGGTGGGGCAAGCTTTTTGCTGCCTAATTAGATAGATGGGCATACAACAGAAGAGAGAACATAAACAAAATGAGAGGCAGTCACTTGGAAATACAGCAACAAGTGCTATGGGACGTGGGAAGGAGTTATATAAGAAGGAAACAGAATAAAATACCAGAATCCAGGCGCTTCCCCCTTGTATTTTAAAATATTTTTTCCGTCCACCTGCTCTCTAAAAGCATTGTATGATTGATTGATTGATTTACTTTTATATTGTGCTATACATCACAAGATCTCAAGGTGCTACAGACAATAGCAGAATAAAAGCAGAAATGAAGCCTTACAGATAAGAACACTACAATTCCTTAAAGCAAAGCAAAACCAGGCAGGTTTTGTTGACTGCCTAAAACTCAGGAAGGATGGACCCAACATGACCTCTACTGAAGGGAGCTCCTGCAATCCCCTTTCTATCTCGGATATCCCAGTCTTGATTCATCTTGTCAGGGGAAGACAAACACTGGGGCCTCTGATGGAGGTTGCAAATTATGGACAGTCCCTGCCAGAAGAGGTGGCCTTTCAAATATACTGACCTCAAGCCATTTTGGGCTTTACAGGCGAAATCCAGAGACTTGAATTGGCTGGTTTTGTTTGTTTTAGTAACAAATTAGGAGTTGGTATCATTGGTTCAAGACCAGTTCTATATGTTCTATAAAAGGCATGCCAGATGGCAGTCTGGCAACCAAATTTTGCATGGGCATCAGTTTACTAATGCTTTTCAAGGGTGTGTTGTACCAAGTTGAACAGACCAATGGTCATACTCATTAGAAAATAGCATTGGCTGCTGTTTTTATTATTTTATCCTACCAGATTTTTACCCTTATTATTTTTCTTTCTGTTTCTTGTTTTTTAAAAAATATATTTTATTAGATTTCTCTTAGCTACCTTGAGCTGTGCATGGGACATAAATATTGTAAACAAGCCGGTAAGTGCTGATGTGGTGATCTGCAGTTCTGACGAAGACATTGAGATGTTGGGCTCATACTCCCCTTAAAGCAGCAGGTGTATAGCTCATATGTTCAGCGCAGAGATGGCAGCAATAACTGACAGGACCCTTTCGCAGCATTAGTTTCTGAGCTGAAGGTACCCCTGCCATTCTAAAGCAAACCATGTTACCACTGACATGCATTGATAGCCTCTTCATTGTACTCTGCTAGGGCATTTTATGTTAACATCTTCGGACCCAACATGACCTCTACTGAAGGGAGCCTGTAAAAACATAAGTAGATAAATAGATACCACCACAGTGGGAAGGTAACGGCGTTCCGTGTCTAGTCACACTGGCCACATGACCATGGAAACTGTCTTCGGACAAACGCTGGCTCTGTGGCTTGGAAACGGGGATGAGCACCACCCCCCTAGAGTCGGACACAACTGGACTAAATGTCAAGGGGAACCTTAATTTTTATCTTTACCTTCCTCAGAATGATGGCATATACTCTATGATTTAACTCTTTCATTTACTTCTATATGATTTGACTTATTTAATTCTGTTTGTTAATTTTATGATATTATAACTATATTATTTCATTTTGTTCTTG